GATCCCACATAACTAGTACTTTGCTCGATCCATTCTACTTGACGCTAATCGAATGAATTGACGTCTATCGTTTTATTGTGGCTGACAACTGTAACAGCTCTGATGTGAATTTCCACAGACGAATATCCCCGTATAACAATGTCTATTTTCTCACTAGAGATGGGGCTTGCGTAAACTGCTTCGTGAGATAGTCATGTTTCGTTCAACATATCAGGCGTGCCCCCGTGCTAAACTCCAACCAACGAATCGCTAAATTACACCCTAAGATGTTTGCTAAAGTTATCCAATAAAGCCTCATTTAGCGTCCAGTCCACCAAGTGCCTTTGCGGAAGCATGAAACACTGAATACTTACTTGTACTCTTTCCCAACTTGGATCTATTACTCGATTCTCTGGGGGGAGGGGGGATTATACATTGCGACTTTATTGGAGTTATTTGAACTTCTGGTAGGAAACACGTTGTACCAGACACAAGATTCTGATATGTCCACACCGTTTTGATGCAGAGAAGCTAAGGAAATTGTGGAGAATGAAAGAAAAAGCATATTGCTCATATGGCACGTAAGCGTTAAAACTGCTAAACATCTACGCCAAAGAAGAAAGCGTTTATTCCAACCCGTCGTAAATAAGTAGCATACAAAATGGCATTTCTGTCCACCATTTGAAAAGTAAACTGAAAATCTATTGAATACCACATGACGCCCAGGAACTCAATAGTTATTCTGTCTCAGCAATAAGTGCAACCAATATATTGCACAAATCACCCAGGAATCCTGGGTGAAATGGAGCAATCCCTAGTCCTTCTTGATAAACGCGTTTTTCAAAGTTTTAAATCGATCAATGTTGATAAAGCTTCCAGACCCGTCGGCCCCATCTGGTATTTTGAAAACAGGGGCCAAAGACTTGGCTCCCATTTCCTCCTCCATATTCACTCGATATCTGTCAGTAGGCAAACTCGGACTAATTGCAAAATGTACGCATAACCCCTATACCTAAGAAGAAAGAAGGAATATTCTTGCCCCTAGCCTCCACTCCGGTTCTACTCAAAACTCTCCAGCGAATTGATATCGATGATTTGAAGTCCACTTCTCATATTTTGGATTCAAACCAATTTCTCAAGCAAAACAGCGCTCGACTCCACCGATTGATCAGAAAGGGAAAGTAATTTGCGTACTTTTCCTGGATTACAGGAATGCTTTCCTTTCCCTTACCAGAGATACTCAACTATCAACTTCGAAGCAATGAGAGATATGGCCGATTTTTCCAATTTCTTATTGAGCTATTTCATAAAGCGATCTCAATTCACACATTTTAATGGTCATAGGTTCTCAACGATCCCTGTTAACTCCTGTATGATGCCGGGTTCTATCTTATCACCGTTTTTGTTCATCTGATATATCCCCACTACATCAACCTTCACTTTGAAATATGCTGATGGCATTGTGTTCTTTTCTGATTTCCGGAACAGTGATTTTGTCAGTCTACGACAATAGTCAGTCTCTACGATGACGGAGTCATCCAACGTCGTAAATATAACACTCAATCTCAACAAGTGTGTAGATGTACTAACTTCAGTGGACCGTAAATCCACATCAAAATCAAATCATCCAGCATACGAGGGTTCAAAAATTGAGACGGAGTGGCACTAGAAAGAGCTTAATGAATCATGCGATCAGGTCTTAACTCCATCCAATATGTACAAGATAATTTTATCAGGGTTTGAAGGCTGATATTCTTCATCTCCCACCTGAGGTGGCTAAGAGTTCTAAGTTTATTTATCCCGTGTAGAACGTCACTAATGACACAACAACCTTGTCACTTTTTCTGGATTGCTTGTCAGTGACATTTCGTTGATCAAATGCTCCCATACATTTACTTCAAAATAAAACAAATTGTCCTGCGCTGATTTACTGGACTTCGCAAAACATCAATTTTTTGCCTGTGGCCGGTTTTCATGCACTGAACATTTCGATGACGCATCTGATGAACTCATACCTCACTCACTCCCTCTCCTGGTATGTTTTACTAAGCTGCACAAAGCAGATTTAAATAGACATATTCACGGGCTACAAAGCCTCATAACTTGGATACTCCATGTCTAGTCATGCTGCTGGTTTCCAATGAACATCTTACCAGAGAACTAATCACGACTGTCCGTCTTCTGTCTGCTTGCTCATTACCAACCACGGTAGACTGACCCAGTAATGATCGTGTTTTATTTATCATATTCTCGAAGCATGGGATTGGTAACTTCTTACTGAAAATCGGACAAAAAAGCACATGTTTGACTGACTCAATTTGGTTGCATTTAGTTCGTACGATTATGTTGGTATATATATATATATATATATATATATATATATATATAACATCAGTTAGCTAGGGATTACATTTTGCATAATGTGATGAAGTCCTGACGTTCAGTATGCCGTTGAGAGTTGGCTCCTATAGAGTGCGTCTGAGTACGAATGGGGTTTGGTGGATGTGCAATGCTGATGATTCTAAACACGGATAATACAGTAACACTATGTCTCTATGGTTTTCAATACAGAATTGGGAATGCATACCGCCTGATTACTAAGTCATGTAATATAAATATATGGAGACAGACCGAAATTATAACAGATATATTTTCGTAATGTGACGCCGTTTTTACAATGGAATTCCACATGATTCTGTTACCAAAAGATATCCTTCTCCGTCACTCCATAATAGAATCGTTTCTTTCATTTCAAAGAACGAGAAGTGCTCAACAGCCATGCAAATTCAGTTCATTCGAGTGCACCCAACCACCTACCGTGCACAGAAGGAAATGGTCTTCGTGGATCTCCTTCCGAGAAAACTTCAAGGGGTACTCAAAAATCATAGTAGGAAAAATGTTTCCAAGCTAACGACAAGTATTATTATCACTTCAGTAGAGAACGTGTGCAGAAAGAAGAGTCTCACCGATGGCGATATCCGGTCACCTGGCATCTAACCATCAAATGGATAGCTTCTTTGGACCTCAGTTTAGCTAACAAACTTAGTTACTTCAAGAGCACCATTTGTGGAAACCATCAGGTTCTGATCAAACATCTGACGGATAACATCATCAATGTAGATATACCGACTGAGTCTTTAGGGGAAGTTTTGGTCAAGTGCAGTTCCGATGTATGGTTTATGTTTAATGGAAGCTTTATTCGAGTAAACGATGGTATTGCAATAGGTCCCCCTTGGCCTTTTTTAGCTGAATTCTTCATGCCCATGACTAAGTCCAATAATTTAAAAGACAATATCACACGTCTTGATGCGTATTGCTGTTTTGTAGATCATTTATATTGCATAACAGACTCAAACTGTGATATAGGAAATCTATTGCACACGATCAATAAAGCGCGTGAATCAGTAACGTTCGTAGTCGAAATGGAAACGAGAGACCAGATGCCCTTCCTTGATGTGCACCCTCAACAGAACCGAGGATGGGTTCATTCAACATAGCCAAGATGTTATTTCAAAAGTTCCTTTTTGATAACAATCTAGAACAAGGACAAATTACCGATACTGACCGTTCCCATGGTTATTCATTCATTCAGTTGCGTCTGTGACTCACTCTACTTCAATCGAACGGTGACTGTCTTCCCACATTAAAAGGCAACACCCGTGTTGGCTAATTCAAGGTGGGTCCAGAGTTATTTCTATCTCAACTCTCAATCATTTGGTCGACACTGGTCGTTGAGTTGATCGCAATCAATCAATTTGAGATACTTCACCAGGTGCCTGAAACGGATCGAAACAAGCCCACATACGCACACTAGCTATCACCGAAGTCATCGGAATAAGACAAATAGCACCGAACCTCTGTGCACAAAAAAGCGAAAAATGCCCTCCAACCACCAAAAATGGTCTACGATCGCACCGACACACAACGCACACACACACACACACACACACACACACACACCACATACGAACATTCGTGACTGCCATGCAGATCAACTGACCTCCGAGTTATAATTCCCCGATCCCATTCCTCAATGGAACGGCACTATGACTGTGTCCACTTCATTCTCCATCACACCTATACACCGTTGGGACATTTGGTTAGCAAATCCTCTATCCCCAGGATTTTCAGTCATGTAAATTGTGAAAGTATAATTATGAATTGTCAAAAAGTTGTACACCTGAAATTAATTTGACTATGGGCATTTCCCCCCGACTGAAACTTAGTTATATTTCATGGGCCCCGTTTCGTTTCTACTCAGTAAATACAATGCACGCAATTTGAACTCACGTGGTTAAAACATTTCGTGTCGTTTGGTAATCTATACATCGTCAGAGTGAAAAGTGCCGTTTCGCTAGACCCCCATCGGAATTTTCATATTAGCAAAATATTATCGTGCAAAAATGTCTCAGTGGATAAATGATGAAGGCAGGATTATTAGCGCTGAACACAAGTCGAATCTCCTAGTTGAGTGTTGAGACCTACAAACAAGCACACTCATGAAACATATAGTGTGCTGTAGGCAGCATAATAAAAACACAATTGACTACGTTGAGACCACTGGAAGATCAGATTAAAGTTTTGCCTGTATTTGTCAACGGAAGGATGATACTAATAATAGTACTCAGTAATCAGAGTGACTATCTGGCGAGAGGTGTTGTTATGTTATCGTAAGCAATGTGACACGCTCTCATCTGGTATTGGTACAATGAACCCAGGAATTCCTCCCTTCAGTAAAATGGCTGTTGCTCATAGTAGTAAGAAAACCCCCATGGTAACGAGCACATCTCACAAACAGCCTTGGTAACTGAAATTAGGAAGGCACACAAATTACTGTCATTCCGTGGGCGTAGGGGAAAGAAAGTCGAAATCATGTAAAAAAAAACTCGAGAACCAATAGGCAGCTGTGTTACAGGTGAAGACACATTGGATATTGATGAGTCTGGATATTCGTCAAGTATAAAAATCACGGTATTTTCGACTGATCTAGATCGGATAAAGCAGTTGAACGTACCATGAAGATGCTTTCACGCTGTGCAGCAGTCCTACTGCTAATTTGTCTTTGCGTAGCCTCAGGTGAGTGATTATTTAGCAACAGAGATTGATAAAACCGTAGGCATTAGACGTATTCAAATCTGAGACATTCTAAAGCATGTATTTTCATTTTACAACGAAATAGGATGATAAATGTAAACAAGGCCTGTGATTATGTTAGATGAACAAAATTACAAAGACCACGCACGCAAATATATATTATTCATTTGATCGGTTTCAAATCACTCGCTTTTGTTCAATTTGTGTATAACGGAGATTAGTGAGGATGATGAACACTGCATGCACTGAGGCGGGTTATGCACAACGAAATCAAAACAAGTGTTCGGAAATATTGTGCCGTGTAGACCGTCCGATCAGTGTACTGGATCGTAACACACTTGCATACCAGTTCTTCCGCTCAAATCTGGATGTTCGTTATGCGCATATTTGTTATTTGTGTTCGGCTTGCGTAGCATACCAGCATCAAATACACGACACTGCGTAACTGATTAGTCAGTTTCACGATGTTATCTGAAGCATTGATAAATGGCCCAGTGCTGTTAACAGATAGCGCGTCATAGGCTGCCCAAAATCGATGGCAAATTTCACGCCAGAGAAGCGCGTCGATGACCCAATCAATTCTTAAAGAATCTGGAAGATATTATCCAATCAACCGCCAACAGTCACTCTCATCGAACCGAGCGAAATCAACTAATCAGCAGCCTTGAGTTTTTCAGTTGAATGCAGGTGAATCAACTAAACAGGAGCCAACAGTTGCTTTTACCCACCGGAACGGTTTCAGCCAAAAGGCAACTTATCCAAAAAGCCAATCCGAAGACCCCGTCGGGGGGAGTGTTTTGGACCAATGCGATTCATACCACTGTCTGGACTTCGGTCAACTACTGTCCTATAAAAACAGCTTATATTTGTGCAACAAACATGATAGGTCTGAAGTAGGAGATTCTTCCAACCAAACCTACCGGGACTGATCTTACTGGACCCTAGAGTGTTTTGACAAAGAATATGTCCAGAACATGAAATATTGCCATCGAAGCAGTTGAGTATGATAGATCCGAGTCGTTTGGCTGAACAGTGGCGGTTGTGGAATCACAACTGTGGAGATTTAGCCGTATTCACCAGTTTATATTTGGAAAGAAATGAACGCCAAATGCACATGCATCGTCGCTGTTTGGGAGATGATTCCACAAGAGTACTGAATACCATCAAATCTGACGTGAAAGATGACTTACAGGACTCACGAACGGTGCTACAAAAGATGCATGACAATTAGTTGATTCTACGGAATGGAATGCTTCAACGGAACCAGTAATTTTTGAAGAGAACAGAGGGAGAGCGAAACAATCGATGACTGAGTCATTGCTGTGAAAAATCTGGCCAACTCGTGTGATTTACGTAACTATATGAAAGCCCGCCTTATGCCTGGAGTTCGGAATGAATATACCACCAAACATTTGTTGCACATGCTCCCGTTTGACTAGAAAGCCCAAATCGATATTTGCATAAGCTATAAGCTGGACACTAGTCAGGTTGATCGCCTCACTGAAAGCATAATAGAGACCGATTCAAAAGTGATAACGGGATTCGCCCTCGTCGAGTGCACGGTTCATAAAAGTCCACATTGAAGACGAAAAGAAAACTCTCCAGCCTGGTCCAGGACGTGTTCTTACCGTTGTGAGCAGAATCGGTTTACTTGTACGTGTCGTTCAGTTCCCACAAAGCCAGTCAACCGTTCAGTGGAGTCAAAGCACGCTGTAAGCGGTCTCCCAGGTGGCACCACGAATAAAGGAGTATTGGCGAAAATTCTGGCAATTGGGAAACTCTTTCGGGTCTAAATGGATTCGGGGACCTCGGTGAATACAATTCCCGTGTTCTGCGTTGATCCACTGGAGATCCGCAATTGCAACACCAGTTTGGCAACGTAGTACGGAATTGAAACTGATGCCTTGGGAGAAATTGAATTGCAATTCAAAATCCCAAGGACCACACCGAAAGAATAGTCACGTTCATAGTGAGAAAGACCAATTGGTTGTCAATATTAGGACTGGATGCGATCCAAGAGCTAGAATTTGTCACTGTATGCCATGGAAATTTCGTCAACGTTTTACAAAGTCAGTTTGACTCAGCATGTATCAGTTATTTGATTCTCAGTTAAAGCATTTATCCGAAAAGATACATTTGTCAGTGATTGATGGTGTTTTTCCCATTTCATTGCTGGTCTGTGAGGTTTCAGTGGTAATAGGGGAAACTGTGCAGTATAAGACCGAGTGAATAATGCGCCTCGAGGCAATTGCTGTAGTTGGCCAGTCAACTGATTGGGTTAGCCAGATCGTGAGCAGAGTAAAGAAATCAGAAGCGACTTGTATGTGCATAGATCCAAATAAAAGATGGGAGAAAACCCGACCATCGATAATTGACGACGTTCTCGATGATGTGAGTTGAGTATATTTGCTTAAGAAGGTTGATTTATATTCGGCAATCTGGAAGCTGAAATTCGATGATGATTCTAGAATTCTAACCTCATTAGGAACCCCATTAGGTCCATCCGTTGAGTTCGGTTGCATTTCATCCTACAATTTGACATCCGATCGATCTCATCCGTACGTTTGCTTGGTGGATTGGTTCATTGATTGAATAGTTGATTGATCTATTGTTTCACACTGATCTATGGATATCGTAATACTTGCTGTTGCCTTTTGTGTTCAGCGTGTCTTGCACACGAGTACCAATTGCACCGAGTTCTCTAGGTGATTATTCACCCTTGAGTGGTTTCGATCGAATTGGTAATAAAATTTATCATTTAGAAAAATGACCCCGTTGTATGCAGATATTGATACAGACAGCTATAAATAGACAGAGCGAGAGACAGTGATACATGCCGATAGATATACAGACAGGCTCATAGACAGAAAGACAGTCATGGAGAGACAGACATGCATATAGGTAGGCGGGCGGATTGATAGACAAACGGACTGACAGACTGAGAGACGGATCTAGAGATAGGAAGATAGATAGACTCACAGACAGACGGACAGGGGTACAGACAAATAGAGATATAAGGAGATAGACGGACACAGAATGTGACAGACGGAAAGACAAACAATCAGATAGATGGACAAACATAATGACTGACTGAATGAGATATAACAAACATCAGTGAGAAAGAGGGATAAGCAGAAAGTAGACTGGCTAACTTCTTGACAGGTATAGCAACGGAGAGAGTTCGAACGAGTCGCCATCATGCCTAACTAATTCTGATCCACCACTTTTCAGAAACTACAACAACAGCTCAAACAACAACGACCACACCTGGTGAGTGCTTCTCGTGATATGCACCGTATGCAACAAGATTACACCAAAAACACATTTATTCAACCATGAAAACTATCTCATTGCTTTCCCGTCACCCTGGCATGATTCGTGGCCGAATAGCACGACATGTGGTCATGTGCAATTTTGAAATGAATAGATACGATATAACAGGATGAGATGACGACGTCGAACCGCATTGACTAGAGAGCACATATTATGCAAATGCTAAAATGATTATTATGCCCTCAATTTGACATCCGATCGATCTCATCCGTACGTTTGCTTGGTGGATTGGTTCATTGATTGAATAGTTGATTGATCTATTGTTTCACACTGATCTATGGATATCGTAATACTTGCTGTTGCCTTTTGTGTTCAGCGTGTCTTGCACACGAGTACCAATTGCACCGAGTTCTCTAGGTGATTATTCACCCTTGAGTGGTTTCGATCGAATTGGTAATAAAATTTATCATTTAGAAAAATGACCCCGTTGTATGCAGATATTGATACAGACAGCTATAAATAGACAGAGCGAGAGACAGTGATACATGCCGATAGATATACAGACAGGCTCATAGACAGAAAGACAGTCATGGAGAGACAGACATGCATATAGGTAGGCGGGCGGATTGATAGACAAACGGACTGACAGACTGAGAGACGGATCTAGAGATAGGAAGATAGATAGACTCACAGACAGACGGACAGGGGTACAGACAAATAGAGATATAAGGAGATAGACGGACACAGAATGTGACAGACGGAAAGACAAACAATCAGATAGATGGACAAACATAATGACTGACTGAATGAGATATAACAAACATCAGTGAGAAAGAGGGATAAGCAGAAAGTAGACTGGCTAACTTCTTGACAGGTATAGCAACGGAGAGAGTTCGAACGAGTCGCCATCATGCCTAACTAATTCTGATCCACCACTTTTCAGAAACTACAACAACAGCTCAAACAACAACGACCACACCTGGTGAGTGCTTCTCGTGATATGCACCGTATGCAACAAGATTACACCAAAAACACATTTATTCAACCATGAAAACTATCTCATTGCTTTCCCGTCACCCTGGCATGATTCGTGGCCGAATAGCACGACATGTGGTCATGTGCAATTTTGAAATGAATAGATACGATATAACAGGATGAGATGACGACGTCGAACCGCATTGACTAGAGAGCACATATTATGCAAATGCTAAAATGATTATTATGCCCTCAATTTGACATCCGATCGATCTCATCCGTACGTTTGCTTGGTGGATTGGTTCATTGATTGAATAGTTGATTGATCTATTGTTTCACACTGATCTATGGATATCGTAATACTTGCTGTTGCCTTTTGTGTTCAGCGTGTCTTGCACACGAGTACCAATTGCACCGAGTTCTCTAGGTGATTATTCACCCTTGAGTGGTTTCGATCGAATTGGTAATAAAATTTATCATTTAGAAAAATGACCCCGTTGTATGCAGATATTGATACAGACAGCTATAAATAGACAGAGCGAGAGACAGTGATACATGCCGATAGATATACAGACAGGCTCATAGACAGAAAGACAGTCATGGAGAGACAGACATGCATATAGGTAGGCGGGCGGATTGATAGACAAACGGACTGACAGACTGACAGACGGATCTAGAGATAGGAAGATAGACAGACTCACAGACAGACGGACAGGGGTACAGACAAATAGAGATATAAGGAGATAGACGGACACAGAATGTGACAGACGGAAAGACAAACAATCAGATAGATGGACAAACATAATGACTGACTGAATGAGATATAACAAACATCAGTGAGAAAGAGGGATAAGCAGAAAGTAGACTGGCTAACTTCTTGACAGGTATAGCAACGGAGAGAGTTCGAACGAGTCGCCATCATGCCTAACTAATTCTGATCCACCACTTTTCAGAAACTGCAACAACAGCTCAAACAACAACGACCACACCTGGTGAGTGCTTCTCGTGATATGCACCGTATGCAACAAGATTACACCAAAAACACATTTATTCAACCATGAAAACTATCTCATTGCTTTCCCGTCACCCTGGCATGATTCGTGGCCGAATAGCACGACATGTGGTCATGTGCAATTTTGAAATGAATAGATACGATATAACAGGATGAGATGACGACGTCGAACCGCATTGACTAGAGAGCACATATTATGCAAATGCTAAAATGATTATTATGCCCTCAATTTGACATCCGATCGATCTCATCCGTACGTTTGCTTGGTGGATTGGTTCATTGATTGAATAGTTGATTGATCTATTGTTTCACACTGATCTATGGATATCGTAATACTTGCTGTTGCCTTTTGTGTTCAGCGTGTCTTGCACACGAGTACCAATTGCACCGAGTTCTCTAGGTGATTATTCACCCTTGAGTGGTTTCGATCGAATTGGTAATAAAATTTATCATTTAGAAAAATGACCCCGTTGTATGCAGATATTGATACAGACAGCTATAAATAGACAGAGCGAGAGACAGTGATACATGCCGATAGATATACAGACAGGCTCATAGACAGAAAGACAGTCATGGAGAGACAGACATGCATATAGGTAGGCGGGCGGATTGATAGACAAACGGACTGACAGACTGACAGACGGATCTAGAGATAGGAAGATAGACAGACTCACAGACAGACGGACAGGGGTACAGACAAATAGAGATATAAGGAGATAGACGGACACAGAATGTGACAGACGGAAAGACAAACAATCAGATAGATGGACAAACATAATGACTGACTGAATGAGATATAACAAACATCAGTGAGAAAGAGGGATAAGCAGAAAGTAGACTGGCTAACTTCTTGACAGGTATAGCAACGGAGAGAGTTCGAACGAGTCGCCATCATGCCTAACTAATTCTGATCCACCACTTTTCAGAAACTGCAACAACAGCTCAAACAACAACGACCACACCTGGTGAGTGCTTCTCGTGATATGCACCGTATGCAACAAGATTACACCAAAAACACATTTATTCAACCATGAAAACTATCTCATTGCTTTCCCGTCACCCTGGCATGATTCGTGGCCGAATAGCACGACATGTGGTCATGTGCAATTTTGAAATGAATAGATACGATATAACAGGATGAGATGACGACGTCGAACCGCATTGACTAGAGAGCACATATTATGCAAATGCTAAAATGATTATTATGCCCTCAATTTGACATCCGATCGATCTCATCCGTACGTTTGCTTGGTGGATTGGTTCATTGATTGAATAGTTGATTGATCTATTGTTTCACACTGATCTATGGATATCGTAATACTTGCTGTTGCCTTTTGTGTTCAGCGTGTCTTGCACACGAGTACCAATTGCACCGAGTTCTCTAGGTGATTATTCACCCTTGAGTGGTTTCGATCGAATTGGTAATAAAATTTATCATTTAGAAAAATGACCCCGTTGTATGCAGATATTGATACAGACAGCTATAAATAGACAGAGCGAGAGACAGTGATACATGCCGATAGATAAACAGACAGGCTCATAGACAGAAAGACAGTCATGGAGAGACAGACATGCATATAGGTAGGCGGGCGGATTGATAGACAAACGGACTGACAGACTGAGAGACGGATCTAGAGATAGGAAGATAGACAGACTCACAGACAGACGGACAGGGGTACAGACAAATAGAGATATAAGGAGATAGACGGACACAGAATGTGACAGACGGAAAGACAAACAATCAGATAAATGGACAAACATAATGACTGACTGAATGAGATATAACAAACATCAGTGAGAAAGAGGGATAAGCAGAAAGTAGACTGGCTAACTTCTTGACAGGTATAGCAACGGAGAGAGTTCGAACGAGTCGCCATCATGCCTAACTAATTCTGATCCACCACTTTTCAGAAACTGCAACAACAGCTCAAACAACAACGACCACACCTGGTGAGTGCTTCTCGTGATATGCACCGTATGCAACAAGATTACACCAAAAACACATTTATTCAACCATGAAAACTATCTCATTGCTTTCCCGTCACCCTGGCATGATTCGTGGCCGAATAGCACGACATGTGGTCATGTGCAATTTTGAAATGAATAGATACGATATAACAGGATGAGATGACGACGTCGAACCGCATTGACTAGAGAGCACATATTATGCAAATGCTAAAATGATTATTATGCCCTCAATTTGACATCCGATCGATCTCATCCGTACGTTTGCTTGGTGGATTGGTTCATTGATTGAATAGTTGATTGATCTATTGTTTCACACTGATCTATGGATATCGTAATACTTGCTGTTGCCTTTTGTGTTCAGCGTGTCTTGCACACGAGTACCAATTGCACCGAGTTCTCTAGGTGATTATTCACCCTTGAGTGGTTTCGATCGAATTGGTAATAAAATTTATCATTTAGAAAAATGACCCCGTTGTATGCAGATATTGATACAGACAGCTATAAATAGACAGAGCGAGAGACAGTGATACATGCCGATAGATATACAGACAGGCTCATAGACAGAAAGACAGTCATGGAGAGACAGACATGCATATAGGTAGGCGGGCGGATTGATAGACAAACGGACTGACAGACTGACAGACGGATCTAGAGATAGGAAGATAGACAGACTCACAGACAGACGGACAGGGGTACAGACAAATAGAGATATAAGGAGATAGACGGACACAGAATGTGACAGACGGAAAGACAAACAATCAGATAAATGGACAAACATAATGATTGACTGAATGAGATATAACAAACATCAGTGAGAAAGAGGGATAAGCAGAAAGTAGACTGGCTAACTTCTTGACAGGTATAGCAACGGAGAGAGTTCGAACGAGTCGCCATCATGCCTAACTAATTCTGATCCACCACTTTTCAGAAACTACAACAACAGCTCAAACAACAACGACCACACCTGGTGAGTGCTTCTCGTGATATGCACCGTATGCAACAAGATTACACCAAAAACACATTTATTCAACCATGAAAACTATCTCATTGCTTTCCCGTCACCCTGGCATGATTCGTGGCCGAATAGCACGACATGTGGTCATGTGCAATTTTGAAATGAATAGATACGATATAACAGGATGAGATGACGACGTCGAACCGCATTGACTAGAGAGCACATATTATGCAAATGCTAAAATGATTATTATGCCCTCAATTTGACATCCGATCGATCTCATCCGTACGTTTGCTTGGTGGATTGGTTCATTGATTGAATAGTTGATTGATCTATTGTTTCACACTGATCTATGGATATCGTAATACTTGCTGTTGCCTTTTGTGTTCAGCGTGTCTTGCACACGAGTACCAATTGCACCGAGTTCTCTAGGTGATTATTCACCCTTGAGTGGTTTCGATCGAATTGGTAATAAAATTTATCATTTAGAAAAATGACCCCGTTGTATGCAGATATTGATACAGACAGCTATAAATAGACAGAGCGAGAGACAGTGATACATGCCGATAGATATACAGACAGGCTCATAGACAGAAAGACAGTCATGGAGAGACAGACATGCATATAGGTAGGCGGGCGGATTGATAGACAAACGGACTGACAGACTGAGAGACGGATCTAGAGATAGGAAGATAGACAGACTCACAGACAGACGGACAGGGGTACAGACAAATAGAGATATAAGGAGATAGACGGACACAGAATGTGACAGACGGAAAGACAAACAATCAGATAGATGGACAAACATAATGACTGACTGAATGAGATATAACAAACATCAGTGAGAAAGAGGGATAAGCAGAAAGTAGACTGGCTAACTTCTTGACAGGTATAGCAACGGAGAGAGTTCGAACGAGTCGCCATCATGCCTAACTAATTCTGATCCACCACTTTTCAGAAACTACAACAACAGCTCAAACAACAACGACCACACCTGGTGAGTGCTTCTCGTGATATGCACCGTATGCAACAAGATTACACCAAAAACACATTTATTCAACCATGAAAACTATCTCATTGCTTTCCCGTCACCCTGGCATGATTCGTGGCCGAATAGCACGACATGTGGTCATGTGCAATTTTGAAATGAATAGATACGATATAACAGGATGAGATGACGACGTCGAACCGCATTGACTAGAGAGCACATATTATGCAAATGCTAAAATGATTATTATGCCCTCAATTTGACATCCGATCGATCTCATCCGTACGTTTGCTTGGTGGATTGGTTCATTGATTGAATAGTTGATTGATCTATTGTTTCACACTGATCTATGGATATCGTAATACTTGCTGTTGCCTTTTGTGTTCAGCGTGTCTTGCACACGAGTACCAATTGCACCGAGTTCTCTAGGTGATTATTCACCCTTGAGTGGTTTCGATCGAATTGGTAATAAAATTTATCATTTAGAAAAATGACCCCGTTGTATGCAGATATTGATACAGACAGCTATAAATAGACAGAGCGAGAGACAGTGATACATGCCGATAGATAAACAGACAGGCTCATAGACAGAAAGACAGTCATGGAGAGACAGACATGCATATAGGTAGGCGGGCGGATTGATAGACAAACGGACTGACAGACTGAGAGACGGATCTAGAGATAGGAAGATAGACAGACTCACAGACAGACGGACAGGGGTACAGACAAATAGAGATATAAGGAGATAGACGGACACAGAATGTGACAGACGGAAAGACAAACAATCAGATAGATGGACAAACATAATGACTGACTGAATGAGATATAACAAACATCAGTGAGAAAGAGGGATAAGCAGAAAGTAGACTGGCTAACTTCTTGACAGGTATAGCAACGGAGAGAGTTCGAACGAGTCGCCATCATGCCTAACTAATTCTGATCCACCACTTTTCAGAAACTGCAACAACAGCTCAAACAACAACGACCACACCTGGTGAGTGCTTCTCGTGATATGCACCGTATGCAACAAGATTACACCAAAAACACATTTATTCAACCATGAAAACTATCTCATTGCTTTCCCGTCACCCTGGCATGATTCGTGGCCGAATAGCACGACATGTGGTCATGTGCAATTTTGAAATGAATAGATACGATATAACAGGATGAGATGACGACGTCGAACCGCATTGACTAGAGAGCACATATTATGCAAATGCTAAAATGATTATTATGCCCTCAATTTGACATCCGATCGATCTCATCCGTACGTTTGCTTGGTGGATTGGTTCATTGATTGAATAGTTGATTGATCTATTGTTTCACACTGATCTATGGATATCGTAATACTTGCTGTTGCCTTTTGTGTTCAGCGTGTCTTGCACACGAGTACCAATTGCACCGAGTTCTCTAGGTGATTATTCACCCTTGAGTGGTTTCGATCGAATTGGTAATAAAATTTATCATTTAGAAAAATGACCCCGTTGTATGCAGATATTGATACAGACAGCTATAAATAGACAGAGCGAGAGACAGTGATACATGCCGATAGATATACAGACAGGCTCATAGACAGAAAGACAGTCATGGAGAGACAGACATGCATATAGGTAGGCGGGCGGATTGATAGACAAACGGACTGACAGACTGAGAGACGGATCTAGCGATAGGAAGATAGACAGACTCACAGACAGACGGACAGGGGTACAGACAAATAGAGATATAAGGAGATAGACGGACACAGAATGTGACAGACGGAAAGACAAACAATCAGATAGATGGACAAACATAATGACTGACTGAATGAGATATAACAAACATCAGTGAGAAAGAGGGATAAGCAGAAAGTAGACTGGCTAACTTCTTGACAGGTATAGCAACGGAGAGAGTTCGAACGAGTCGCCATCATGCCTAACTAATTCTGATCCACCACTTTTCAGAAACTACAACAACAGCTCAAACAACAACGACCACACCTGGTGAGTGCTTCTCGTGATATGCACCGTATGCAACAAGATTACACCAAAAACACATTTATTCAACCATGAAAACTATCTCATTGCTTTCCCGTCACCCTGGCATGATTCGTGGCCGAATAGCACGACATGTGGTCATGTGCAATTTTGAAATGAATAGATACGATATAACAGGATGAGATGACGACGTCGAACCGCATTGACTAGAGAGCACATATTATGCAAATGCTAAAATGATTATTATGCCCTCAATTTGACATCCGATCGATCTCATCCGTACGTTTGCTTGGTGGATTGGTTCATTGATTGAATAGTTGATTGATCTATTGTTTCACACTGATCTATGGATATCGTAATACTTGCTGTTGCCTTTTGTGTTCAGCGTGTCTTGCACACGAGTACCAATTGCACCGAGTTCTCTAGGTGATTATTCACCCTTGAGTGGTTTCGATCGAATTGGTAATAAAATTTATCATTTAGAAAAATGACCCCGTTGTATGCAGATATTGATACAGACAGCTATAAATAGACAGAGCGAGAGACAGTGATACATGCCGATAGATATACAGACAGGCTCATAGACAGAAAGACAGTCATGGAGAGACAGACATGCATATAGGTAGGCGGGCGGATTGATAGACAAACGGACTGACAGACTGAGAGACGGATCTAGCGATAGGAAGATAGACAGACTCACAGACAGACGGACAGGGGTACAGACAAATAGAGATATAAGGAGATAGACGGACACAGAATGTGACAGACGGAAAGACAAACAATCAGATAAATGGACAAACATAATGACTGACTGAATGAGATATAACAAACATCAGTGAGAAAGAGGGATAAGCAGAAAGTAGACTGGCTAACTTCTTGACAGGTATAGCAACGGAGAGAGTTCGAACGAGTCGCCATCATGCCTAACTAATTCTGATCCACCACTTTTCAGAAACTACAACAACAGCTCAAACAACAACGACCACACCTGGTGAGTGCTTCTCGTGATATGCACCGTATGCAACAAGATTACACCAAAAACACATTTATTCAACCATGAAAACTATCTCATTGCTTTCTCGTCACACTGGCATGATTCGTGGCCGAATAGCACGACATGTGGTCATGTGCAATTTTGAAATGAATAGATACGATATAACAGGATGAGATGACGACGTCGAACCGCATTGACTAGAGAGCACATATTATGCAAATGCTAAAATGATTATTATGCCCTCAATTTGACATCCGATCGATCTCATCCGTACGTTTGCTTGGTGGATTGGTTCATTGATTGAATAGTTGATTGATCTATTGTTTCACACTGATCTATGGATATCGTAATACTTGCTGTTGCCTTTTGTGTTCAGCGTGTCTTGCACACGAGTACCAATTGCACCGAGTTCTCTAGGTGATTATTCACCCTTGAGTGGTTTCGATCGAATTGGTAATAAAATTTATCATTTAGAAAAATGACCCCGTTGTATGCAGATATTGATACAGACAGCTATAAATAGACAGAGCGAGAGACAGTGATACATGCCGATAGATATACAGACAGGCTCATAGACAAAAAGACAGTCATGGAGAGACAGACATGCATATAGGTAGGCGGGCGGATTGATAGACAAACGGACTGACAGACTGAGAGACGGATCTAGAGATAGGAAGATAGACAGACTCACAGACAGACGGACAGGGGTACAGACAAATAGAGATATAAGGAGATAGACGGACACAGAATGTGACAGACGGAAAGACAAACAATCAGATAGATGGACAAACATAATGACTGACTGAATGAGATATAACAAACATCAGTGAGAAAGAGGGATAAGCAGAAAGTAGACTGGCTAACTTCTTGACAGGTATAGCAACGGAGAGAGTTCGAACGAGTCGCCATCATGCCTAACTAATTCTGATCCACCACTTTTCAGAAACTACAACAACAGCTCAAACAACAACGACCACACCTGGTGAGTGCTTCTCGTGATATGCACCGTATGCAACAAGATTACACCAAAAACACATTTATTCAACCATGAAAACTATCTCATTGCTTTCTCGTCACACTGGCATGATTCGTGGCCGAATAGCACGACATGTGGTCATGTGCAATTTTGAAATGAATAGATACGATATAACAGGATGAGATGACGACGTCGAACCGCATTGACTAGAGAGCACATATTATGCAAATGCTAAAATGATTATTATGCCCTCAATTTGACATCCGATCGATCTCATCCGTACGTTTGCTTGGTGGATTGGTTCATTGATTGAATAGTTGATTGATCTATTGTTTCACACTGATCTATGGATATCGTAATACTTGCTGTTGCCTTTTGTGTTCAGCGTGTCTTGCACACGAGTACCAATTGCACCGAGTTCTCTAGGTGATTATTCACCCTTGAGTGGTTTCGATCGAATTGGTAATAAAATTTATCATTTAGAAAAATGACCCCGTTGTATGCAGATATTGATACAGACAGCTATAAATAGACAGAGCGAGAGACAGTGATACATGCCGATAGATATACAGACAGGCTCATAGACAGAAAGACAGTCATGGAGAGACAGACATGCATATAGGTAGGCGGGCGGATTGATAGACAAACGGACTGACAGACTGAGAGACGGATCTAGAGATAGGAAGATAGACAGACTCACAGACAGACGGACAGGGGTACAGACAAATAGAGATATAAGGAGATAGACGGACACAGAATGTGACAGACGGAAAGACAAACAATCAGATAGATGGACAAACATAATGACTGACTGAATGAGATATAACAAACATCAGTGAGAAAGAGGGATAAGCAGAAAGTAGACTGGCTAACTTCTTGACAGGTATAGCAACGGAGAGAGTTCGAACGAGTCGCCATCATGCCTAACTAATTCTGATCCACCACTTTTCAGAAACTACAACAACAGCTCAAACAACAACGACCACACCTGGTGAGTGCTTCTCGTGATATGCACCGTATGCAACAAGATTACACCAAAAACACATTTATTCAACCATGAAAACTATCTCATTGCTTTCTCGTCACACTGGCATGATTCGTGGCCGAATAGCACGACATGTGGTCATGTGCAATTTTGAAATGAATAGATACGATATAACAGGATGAGATGACGACGTCGAACCGCATTGACTAGAGAGCACATATTATGCAAATGCTAAAATGATTATTATGCCCTCAATTTGACATCCGATCGATCTCATCCGTACGTTTGCTTGGTGGATTGGTTCATTGATTGAATAGTTGATTGATCTATTGTTTCACACTGATCTATGGATATCGTAATACTTGCTGTTGCCTTTTGTGTTCAGCGTGTCTTGCACACGAGTACCAATTGCACCGAGTTCTCTAGGTGATTATTCACCCTTGAGTGGTTTCGATCGAATTGGTAATAAAATTTATCATTTAGAAAAATGACCCCGTTGTATGCAGATATTGATACAGACAGCTATAAATAGACAGAGCGAGAGACAGTGATACATGCCGATAGATAAACAGACAGGCTCATAGACAGAAAGACAGTCATGGAGAGACAGACATGCATATAGGTAGGCGGGCGGATTGATAGACAAACGGACTGACAGACTGAGAGACGGATCTAGAGATAGGAAGATAGACAGACTCACAGACAGACGGACAGGGGTACAGACAAATAGAGATATAAGGAGATAGACGGACACAGAATGTGACAGACGGAAAGACAAACAATCAGATAGATGGACAAACATAATGATTGACTGAATGAGATATAACAAACATCAGTGAGAAAGAGGGATAAGCAGAAAGTAGACTGGCTAACTTCTTGACAGGTATAGCAACGGAGAGAGTTCGAACGAGTCGCCATCATGCCTAACTAATTCTGATCCACCACTTTTCAGAAACTACAACAACAGCTCAAACAACAACGACCACACCTGGTGAGTGCTTCTCGTGATATGCACCGTATGCAACAAGATTACACCAAAAACACATTTATTCAACCATGAAAACTATCTCATTGCTTTCTCGTCACACTGGCATGATTCGTGGCCGAATAGCACGACATGTGGTCATGTGCAATTTTGAAATGAATAGATACGATATAACAGGATGAGATGACGACGTCGAACCGCATTGACTAGAGAGCACATATTATGCAAATGCTAAAATGATTATTATGCCCTCAATTTGACATCCGATCGATCTCATCCGTACGTTTGCTTGGTGGATTGGTTCATTGATTGAATAGTTGATTGATCTATTGTTTCACACTGATCTATGGATATCGTAATACTTGCTGTTGCCTTTTGTGTTCAGCGTGTCTTGCACACGAGTACCAATTGCACCGAGTTCTCTAGGTGATTATTCACCCTTGAGTGGTTTCGATCGAATTGGTAATAAAATTTATCATTTAGAAAAATGACCCCGTTGTATGCAGATATTGATACAGACAGCTATAAATAGACAGAGCGAGAGACAGTGATACATGCCGATAGATATACAGACAGGCTCATAGACAGAAAGACAGTCATGGAGAGACAGACATGCATATAGGTAGGCGGGCGGATTGATAGACAAACGGACTGACAGACTGAGAGACGGATCTAGAGATAGGAAGATAGACAGACTCACAGACAGACGGACAGGGGTACAGACAAATAGAGATATAAGGAGATAGACGGACACAGAATGTGACAGACGGAAAGACAAACAATCAGATAGATGGACAAACATAATGACTGACTGAATGAGATATAACAAACATCAGTGAGAAAGAGGGATAAGCAGAAAGTAGACTGGCTAACTTCTTGACAGGTATAGCAACGGAGAGAGTTCGAACGAGTCGCCATCATGCCTAACTAATTCTGATCCACCACTTTTCAGAAACTACAACAACAGCTCAAACAACAACGACCACACCTGGTGAGTGCTTCTCGTGATATGCACCGTATGCAACAAGATTACACCAAAAACACATTTATTCAACCATGAAAACTATCTCATTGCTTTCTCGTCACACTGGCATGATTCGTGGCCGAATAGCACGACATGTGGTCATGTGCAATTTTGAAATGAATAGATACGATATAACAGGATGAGATGACGACGTCGAACCGCATTGACTAGAGAGCACATATTATGCAAATGCTAAAATGATTATTATGCCCTCAATTTGACATCCGATCGATCTCATCCGTACGTTTGCTTGGTGGATTGGTTCATTGATTGAATAGTTGATTGATCTATTGTTTCACACTGATCTATGGATATCGTAATACTTGCTGTTGCCTTTTGTGTTCAGCGTGTCTTGCACACGAGTACCAATTGCACCGAGTTCTCTAGGTGATTATTCACCCTTGAGTGGTTTCGATCGAATTGGTAATAAAATTTATCATTTAGAAAAATGACCCCGTTGTATGCAGATATTGATACAGACAGCTATAAATAGACAGAGCGAGAGACAGTGATACATGCCGATAGATATACAGACAGGCTCATAGACAGAAAGACAGTCATGGAGAGACAGACATGCATATAGGTAGGCGGGCGGATTGATAGACAAACGGACTGACAGACTGAGAGACGGATCTAGAGATAGGAAGATAGACAGACTCACAGACAGACGGACAGGGGTACAGACAAATAGAGATATAAGGAGATAGACGGACACAGAATGTGACAGACGGAAAGACAAACAATCAGATAGATGGACAAACATAATGACTGACTGAATGAAATATGTTCTTCGGCATAGTAATTTTTTATTTTTCCCTCAACCTCTTGCCTTGTAGTCGTTTTTCTTTCCGCCGTTTTTTCTTCATTTGTAATCATAGATTACCTGCTGACCCGTCACTATTTTATTTCATTTTTTTAAATATCGGAGTTTGCACCCTCTAATTTTTTTATACTTTTGTTGTTGATGCACACAATATTAACTATTTGTTTTTACTCGTGATTTTTTTTACAGGTGGTACAAACAATATATGTTGCTTCCGTGAAATGGTTCTCGCCGTTATCCTACTGAAGCAAATATATGGTCAGATATGTATGTGAAACAATTCACCACACGGATTACCCTATCTTTTTTACTATTGTGAATCCTTTTGAATTAACCTTCTATTTCTTTAGAACCCTCTTTTAACTACTGAATAGACTCATACGAGCCAACTCTCACGGTTCCTCAACTACATTTCATATTGATTATTTTAAAACTAAAATTCCCGCAAGCAAATACAAAAGTCACCAGAATGAAAATTTCTTCCCTTATTGTGAAAACAGTTTGCTGGGACTCATTAAGTAAGCATCTAACAGCACGAGTCAAGCAACTGGTGTTTGGTGGTAGATGATGGACCGATTGGTGTAAGATTGTCGGACGAGGCACCAAACAGAGTAAGGAGTCACGTATCTCGCTTGAATTTCGGGAGCACAAGGGGGAGCGTATAACTGTAATATCTTTTTTTGCTCAACGAACAACATTCTGACAAAGAAGCACTGTCTTATTTTCCTCGGTCAGTATCACGGGCAATCTAATCAAAGTGTGCTTTGCACAGTTGGAGCCTTCCCGTTGTAGATAATTAACCACTGCAATTCAGTGGGATTATTGCATTACAAATATATGATAACATAAGTCGGATCAATTCAATTGAAATCATCTCATACAGCTCATTGTTTGAATTGTTTGCAACTCAGAAATCAAATTTGAGAAAGGATTTGGTGCCTATTCAAGCATCGTTATTCTTGCTAAGGTTGACTTAGCAGCTACACACAGTTCCAATCTCAACCTGCCTATACAAATTAGTCTTCCCTTTAAATCAATTCATTTTGAAAGTCAATGGAAAACTACTAATATGATAACTAGCCAAAAATACTGATCTATCTCACACAAAGTCTCGCAAAACTATGTAGATTTCACACACTTTACATCGAGGAACACAAATTCTGATGCACTCCGAAGTTGACACAGTGGAAGGGTGAATGTGGATTTCGTTGATGTGCAAGTACTGATCGTGCATGCTGAGAATCACGGTGATCTAATTGCATATCCTTCACTATGCTATCATCTAAACCATGTGTGTTATGTTATGGTGCTTTGGCAAAATGGTATACCAAAAGGTATTGTATTCACTAATAGGATTAAAATAATTCACTCAGCTGTTGTCAATCTGGGGTGTGTTGTATGTGAAACAAGGTCTGTCATTCAGCATACAAAAGATCCCACTGCATAGTTCAAATGATTTATTCTCCCAACGAAGATTTCTCACAGAACGTTTGATGTCTCCCGATGTTGTAGTGGTCGAGGAAGAACCATACTGAAAATTCAGATGACCGTGTTCCTGAGGTCGATCGGTTGATTAAGTCACGCATAAGTACCAGAAATAACACAAAGAAAACTAAGACTGTATTCGAATACGGAACTTACGCTGAACTCAGTCGACTGGTACACGAAGCGAAACACATTCACCTGAATTCCGTTAGCACAATTCACAGTTATCAAATGGCAAGTTTTCTCATTTATGGTCGTATGGGAAAAACAAATGAACTTCGTCATTCGTCGACAGACAAATACGTACAGATTAAACACGATACGCTTGTAAAGAGGTCAACGAAGCCGCACGATTCCCAGAGCAAGGCTGCGATCTTTCTCAATGATAACATGATTGAAGTCATCAGCATCATCATTATGTGAGCGATTATCGATGAACCAATTCGTATCTGAAGGATCATCATCATGAGCGGATGCATCATAACCATGTCATTACTATCATAAACTTCAATTCAGTTCAGCTCAGTTCAAACAATCATCAACCAAGCACTGTGTGCGCTGGTCTTGGTTGCTTCCTCCCAGCGACAGCCTCAATAAGAAATAATGAGAAAGAACAGGAATATGAAGGGAGTAGTCAGAGAACTACGAAAAACAGTATGAATTTTATAAGGAAAGTTTGTGGATACAAGATTGCTAATGATCGCTACACCTGGCTACTTCTTTAAACAACTAAGTGGCAGGTCTCTTGGACCCTATTCCGGAAGCTTAACACGTCCCACATAGCCAAGTCAACGAGTTAGATTTCCCATAACTTTGTTCCATGTCATGTACTGGCCACCCCTACGCATCTTCTAACCGTTACTCGCCTCAGCGAACATTTTACATCGAGGAATCTTATCACGGGACATGTGCAACACATGTCCTTATCATCTTGGATTGATCAACACAAGTGTTTCATCTAGTAATTTGGTTCGTGAACCTAAGACTCTTCGCCGAACATCAGCATTGTTTAAAACGTGTTTCCACTAGATGCGACAAATGCTACGAACATATCGGTGTTCAAATGCTGACAATCTTCGTAAGTTCTCTACTCGCAGTAGCCATGTCCCCGAAGCATACAAAAGCACTGGCCTGACTGCTGTAGTGTACGCCCGATCCTTGATGGACAATGATGTATAATGTCAATGCCATAGATGACTCAAGCTTGCAAAACCCAAACGAGTCTTCCGTATACGCAAAGACAGCTCATCCAATATGCGACCTCTGGGTAAAATTCTGTTTCCCAGATAAAAGAACTTATGTGCTTGATCTGTAGTCTCCTCAGACACAAAACGTATGCCAAACCATGTTACACAGTCAGTCAGACTGTCCACAAAAGCTTGTAACTTTCTTCGACCCTCACTTGGAAGAACTACGTCGTCCGCATATTCAAGGTCTGACACTTTGCCATCCGCGAAACGTTCAATACTACTATCCCCAATAGATAAAAGCCCATTCTCCGGGACAATATC